GAAGACAACAGTAAGGTGACAAAGTATCTCCTTTTAAAATTCTAGAGCACTTAACAGTGGTCAAAGCACTCAGTAGCGTCCATTGTGCCTCCCACCCCAGGTTCAGGTTGCATGAAATGGAGCCAACTGGATGATGCATGTTGGTGGAGACCCCGCAGGTGCAAAGCTGCCTGGCTGCTGCAGATGGTCAAAGGCTCAAATTCCTCCTAAGAGTAGGGCTATGCTGTAACTGAAGTGGCTCCTTTCTTTCACAAGTCAGGGCTGCTATTTTGGACCTCCCTCGTTTGAATAGAACACAGTAAAGGGATGCTACAAAAATATACTCTATTCAATGAGCCCTAAATATTAATAAATTAAACTTTTCACTTGCTGGGAATATTCTCCTCTGTACTCTTTGTCTGAGATCATGCTTCAGGCCTCAATCTCAAAGTGACTTCCTCCCAGCATCTGTCCAAACTCTCCAGCTTGTGCTCCCTGACATCCTGTCCTTGCCTTGTCAATGCTCTCTTCACACTCTGCTGGAAGGGCACTGTCTGTAATAAGAGGGCAGGGGACTGTGTTTAACACATTCACCATTATATCCCTATTACCTGACAAAAGCCTGGCCCTTTCCAGTATGTTCAACAAGTATTTCTTTGAATGTTGGGAAAAAAAATGAATGAATGAATGAATAAAAAAAGAAAGTAAAACATACCAAACTAACTCAGATAAGCTCAGACATAAAAAACATACTTGTTTCACAACAAATGGTTTCAGCACCTTCATAAAGATGTCTTGCAGAGATTACTCAAGATCAAATTTGTATGCTCAAACTACTTTGGAGGAGGTATAGAAAAAGGAGATTTGTCTTTTGAAATCTCAATTTTTAAAAATTCCATGAACTTATACTAACACACAGGATCACCAAATCCTTCTCAGAGTCAATTTCTTCCATTCATGATCGATGTCCAGCTGGCCACATCTCTATCCTTAACCTTTTTTGCACTAACAAAGATCTTTCTGTTTCTGAAATGAGAAATGTTCTAAGCATCTGAATCAAGCCAGTCATTGAACTAATCACTTGACTCTGTGAAGCCCTGGTATTTCTTCTTTGCCTTCCTCTATATATGTACTGTTCATCTCTCTCTCCTGTGACTGACTTCCTTTTTCCAATCAGCCATTCATCCTTTCAAACATATGCTGGGACACAGCCTCTGCCCTAGTGTACTGAAAGCCTAGTGGAGACAAATAAACATCTGCAGCGCAGCACAGTGCACCATCCTTGCTGCCTGGATGCGCAGGGTGCTGATATGGAGATGTAATACAGGGGAGGCTTCCATTAAAGACGACAAACTCAATACAATCAAGCAGGAAACACAATGCCACAGATGTTTTTAGCCTGAACTCAGTATCGGCATCAAGGATCCATTTTCTCAGTACTCAATAAGAGATGAAAATAAGAAACTTTTGGAAAGAAATCAGATAATGTTACGTTTCATAGATTACAACAGATCAAAATACTTAGCATAAAGAACATGTTGAAAGCTCTGGGGGCCTATCTGACAGGTAACATGCTCACACATTTTACACTTCCCTGGTTCTGAAATGGAATATTAAGATTCCTCTCCAAGCCAGGCACTGGTGGCTCATAACTATAATCCTAGCTACTCTGGAGGCAAAGATCAGGAGAATCGCAGTTTGAAGGCAGCCTGGGCAGGAAGTTTGTGGAAACCCTATCTTGAAAAAACCCATCACAAAAAAGGGCTGGTGGAGTAGCTCAAATTGTAGGGTGTGGGCCCTAAGTTCAAGCTCTGGTTCTACCAAAAAAGAGAGAGAGAGATTCCTCTTCAAGCAAAAGAACACTGTATCTTAAATCAATCTCTCCAAACTCTCAAATCTTAAATTTACAGTATGTTAAAAGATACTGGAGCCAACCCAAACCAGAAAAGGACAATACAAAAATTACCACAATGACAGAACAAAAGATTGGAGAGGATGTGCTTATAGATGGTGGCAGTAACAGTATTCCTCACCTCCAAAATATGGCAAAAAATTTTAAAGTTTTAAAAATACTGATGCCCATTGAAAAATACTGGAACTACCCTACATGATACTCTATAATGGTGGATATATCATTATGTATTTGTTCAAACCCATAAAATGTGCCACACCAGGAAAGAAGTCTAATGAAAACTATGGTTTTTGGGTGACAATGATGTGCCATGTATCAAACGTGTCAGCTGTATCAGACGTACCACTATGGTGGAGGATGCTGATAACGGGGGAAAGTATGCACATATGTGAGCAGGAGGTAGACAGGAAATCTCTGTGATTCCTCTCAATTTTGCTGTGAACCCAAAACTATTCCGAAAAATAAAGTCTATTGCCTGGATCCCAGCCCTCCCAGAGATTCTCATTTAATTGGTATGAGGTGTGGCCTGGGCATCATGTAACCACTCTCTAGCACACCAATGAGATGCTGGGACTTATAATACTATTATGCAACAAGACCATGACTGAGGCAGATGAGCCAGGCCTGGTCTGGCATTGGATTGAGTGCACATACAGGTACGTTCACTTGTAAAATAAGTATTAATCCACATGCATGGACTTTTCAAAAGAAAAGGGCAATGTTCTACTTCCTTCTTAATCAATATGCTTACAAGTTTAAATGTATACAGAGGTAACAAACATCTACTCTACTTTATTGCTATTATTATTTTGGTGGTAGTAGAATTTAAGAATTTTTTTTGATGGTACTGAGATTTGAACTCAGGGCCTCACACTTGTTAGAACAGCATTCTACCACTTGAACCACAGCCCCCAGCCCTAAAATATCTATGGTATTTTGAAAACTGCACTAGTATCCTGAGTTAATACAGCAATGGCCTCCAAAGCCCCCAAATTAGGTATATAATCCCCCAAGCGTGCAAGCTGTTCTTCATTGTGATTTTAATGGTTAGAAAAATACTTTGGGAACACATGAAATGTGCACCAAGCATTTAGAAGCCCTAAAGCCCTCTGGCCAGACTCTCAGGATTTTACTGAAGAGAGTACGACAACCACAATTCCAGTTGGTTTTGAGAAATTTAAGTTTTCTACAGGTATGGAAAACCAGAGTGCTACCACAGCAGCTCACAGCTGGACAAACAGGCTAAGACATAAATCACACAGGGGAAATGAGTTAAATGGGGAAGAGATACTTCACTTTTTTTCAGAGATGTGGGCACTCTTGGAGTTGTGGCTCACTGCTTTATCCTTTGGGCAGGTTCTTAATTTAGAATGGAATGCAAATTTGTCTATGCCAGTTTCTAATTTATAGCTCAGTTTAAAAGTGCTTTTTTTGCTTTAGAAAGTCCATCATTTTCGGCACAGTAGGCTTTCTGCCATAGCACCCCCCTTTCCCTGCCTCTCCAGTTTAAGGAGGATGCAGCTGGTGAGATGGCATTGGTTTGCTCTCAAATCCTTCCGCAGGCGCTACAGGCAGCATTCCTCTGGGCTCATGATGCTCATTTTTCACTCAACCCACAACCAGGTCTGCCTCTGAAACCTGCAGCATCTCAAGACTCTACCTGATACAAGCCTGGTAAAGCCCTCTCTGATCTGACCACCTCTGCTTTGCTACTCAGTATTTCTCACAGGCCACTCTATGGCTACAGGCTACTGAAGCTACCCCTTCCAGTATGAAGCAGTATCTTTTTGGTTACTGGTACAGCAGTTAACTTGAGTTCTCTTATTGCCTTTTTGTATGTAGCCCAGGCTGGTCTTAAACTTGTGATCCTCCAAAGTGCTGGGATTACAGAAGTGTCTCACCACTCCTGGCTTGGACTCAAGACTTCTTGAGGCATGGAACAGCTCCTTGTTTAGCCTTTGCATACCCAGCTCCTAGCATACTTCCAAATGGGCAGAAAGCTCTCAAAGAACATTTTAAAAAGTAAACAGATAACAGGATTCCTGTAATGTGAAGTTAGGATTAATGAAACGTAAAGCACCCATTTTTTATTAAATTAATGAAATCAACTTACCCTTAAATTGTGTCTCTGTCACATGCTCTTTGGCTCCTAGAAAAATCTAGCATTGGAGTCCAGATTAATCATCACTAATTTGTTACTTCCAGAAAGAGTTCAAATGTAAACACTCACACTTGGACAGGATCTAAAATGTGAGGGAGGCATGGAAACATCTGTCCCCTTTCCTGTTGTGACACATAACGCAGGTTTTATTAGAATAAAAAAGTTAATAATGTCAATGGAATAGTTCATTGATTGGATAGCTAACAAGTGTTGGGTTCTGTGGAGACATTAATACACACTATACATGGACATACACGAGAGTGTATACAAAAAGCATGGAGTACATGCAACGTGTATGGTTCCGGCACGAGGCAGTGCACAGGACAATTATCTCTGAAACAGGGACTGTGGACTACCTGGTCTGTATCTTATCTATTGTTTATGCCACTGTCATCTTCCCCATAAAAGTTCCTCGTAAACTGTCTCTCTTAAGTAGCAAAGAGTCTAGATAGAAAGGCTAAGTGTGAAAAACAAAGACATCTAGGAATGTTTTATGGAAAATGCACTGGAATTTTGCCTGGAATGTTGAAAAGAATCAACATAGATTGGAAGGGCCTTTTGCAGAGAGAAAAACATGAAATGATGTTTAAAAAATAACTACACAGATTAGAAAACTTTTAAGTTTAAATGGTAAGCTCAAATAAGTTGGCACTTGATCCTGTGGGCACCACTGAGAATTAAGCAGGGCAATACAGTACGATTGGATTTTTTGGTTGAGATAGGAAGATACACAGAAAAAGGAGGGAAAGAAGAGACACTTGGAAATTTTCCCAAAGGATTTCTGTTTCATTCTATCTTTGACTCTTGGCCCCAAATTCACGATCTTCCTGACTCAGCCTCCTTAGTGCTGGGATTGCAGGTTGTCCCAGCCTGCTGTACATACTTTTACATTTCTGACTACCTGCTCCATTCAGATCAGGTCAGCTGCCACTGTTGATTGCAGCTTACCTCCAGCAGCTCACAATCACCTCCTAAATAAGTACTCTCATCTATAATAGGCTCGGGAACTGTCTGGCTCATGTTCATGTTACAGATGAAAAGGAATCCAGACCATAAAGAAAAGAAACAGAAAACTGCAAAGTTCTTTTTTGTGATATCAGGCTCATTTGGACAGTGTATGAACTAAGAATAAACAGTCTCTCTGCAAAGAACTGTGCTACACATAGAGCTCAAGAACTTGAAGGTATAGATTCTATCATACCAATAAGCTTCCTGTTGGTGCTTTTGTTTATGCCAAGTGCCACACAGACTCTAAGGTGTTGGTGTAATTTAAGATTTTCCCCTGGGCTTCCTTTTTATTTAACGAAGAAACCCATTTATTTCATAATCCCTGGATGTTTCACAGCTTTCTAAATTGCCAAAAATTTAGATAACTGCACACGCAGAAAGTCAACAAACAGTAAAGACCACACACTGTTAAGTCATCTAGACCGGAGCAGAGTTCAGGCACACAGCATTTCAGAGCCCTTGCTTCTCTGAGAACACTGCACTGTTCAGATATTTTCAGATAACTGAATCTTTTCCTTCCTGACTCACTAGAAATATTTCACAGAATGAAGTCTCCTGAATTCCTTAGGATCACTCTCCCTAGGCAGGAATTTACCAAAGGCCTCTGGATAGCAAGAACTGCCTAGAACAACCAAGCCTGTCAAATGTTGAAACTGCATTCCAGGGAGGTTAGTATGAAATAACTTCTCAAACCACAGTGACATTTTGAAATAACTTTCAAACCCATGTGTTCATGTAAATTTCCATCAATGGTGACTGTTTAACTAAGGTACAGTGTACCCACCTAAAGAAATACCATAGCATAAGAAAGAATAAGGAAGTTCTTTAGTGCTGGGTCTGCAATGATCTCCAAGAGATATTGTTAAATGAAAAAAGAAAAATGTAGACACAATATATATAAAATTTTGCTCAAAAGGATCAGACTTACAAGAACTAAATTAAAAAATTCTTAGAAGAAAACATAGGACTAAATCTTTGTAAACTTGTGTTAGGCAATGGTTTCTTAGCATTAAATAACAACAACAACAACAAAAACAGGTAAACTCAACTTACTCAAAATTTAAAACTTTTGTGTTTCAAACTACCAAAAAGTTGAGAAGACAACCCGTGAGTAAGAGAAAATATCTGCAAATAATGTATCTGATAAGGGACTTGTATCCAAATATATAAAAAGCTCTTATAATCTCATTTTTAAATGGACTTGGAAAGAACCTGAACATATAGGATCAATTAGCACCCAAAAAGAATGCTCAAACTTCATTAATCACTAGAGGGAAGCATATGAAAGCCACAATGGGATATCGTTTCATAACCACAGGGATGGCTGTAATCAAAACCAGACACACAAGCCAGGCATGCTGGCCCATGCCTGTAATCCCAGAACTTGGAGGCTAAGGCAGAAGAGAGAAAAGAGACACCAGCCTGGAAAACATGGCGAGACCCTGACCCAGACCAAAGCCAAAATGAAACCCAGACAATAACAAGTGCTGGAGAGGCCTGCAGACACTGGAATTCTTGACATTGACATTGGCAAGGTAATTTGACAGTCTTTTGGAAATTGGGCAGTTCCTCAAATAGTTAAACATGGAGCAAGTAGCAAGTTCAAACCAAGCCCTGGCCTGACGGGGCAAGTGGGAGCATCTTCTCATGGAAGAGTAGAGCCAGTCTCCCTCCCTTGCTCGTTCATGCCCTGCTTGGGGAGTATGCTCTGATCTCCCCCAGAAAGCCTCGTCATGTGAGTAATGAACCTTTTCATGGCCTCCTGCCGCATGGGGTCATCAGTTCTTACATCTAAACCAAATTCTGCAGTGGGGGAAGGGAGCAAGGCATGCGTTCCACCTCTGTGCAGAAAGCACAACATTTACTCTGGAACTGATGGCAGCAAATTTTATTCTGTTTTGATTTTATTCCCAATTTGATGGAAATAAACTTAGTGAAAGTACTGAATAAAAATATTCACTCGTTGTTGGAAATGGTTCATAACAACTTTTTGTTTTAAGAGATGGGGGTCACATGATGCTGCCCAGGCTGGCCTCAAACTACTGGATTCAAGGAATCTTTCTGCTTCAACCTCCTTGAGCATCTGGAGCTACAGAAGTACACTGCTGTGCCCGGCGATAACAACTGTTATTAAGGTCTATATGTGAACTTAGAGGAAGTGAGCAAGCTACCTATTTGGAGGTGTTTATACTTTATTTAGATGTGCTTTGCAATGAATATTACTTGTTTCACACATGGAAAGCTGTCCCCTCAGAAGGAAAAATTTTTAACAAGCTATCTAGCAATTTTTCCCAAAAAATTACCGGTGTGGCTTTGTGGTTTGCAACACTGGAAGACACAGGACTACCTGAGACAACAAAGAACCGCCTCAAAATTTGCCTCACATTTTCCTACTGTGAATTTACTCCAATACAAATTGAGCATCTCTAATCCAAAAACCCAAAACTTTTTGAGTACCAACATTATACCACAAGTGGAAAATTTCACACCTGACCTCATGTCACAGTCAAAACACAGGCACACTGCAAATACTGTATAAAACTACCTTCAAGCTCTATGTATGAGGTGTATATGAAACAAACAAGTTTTGTGTCTAGACTTGGATGCTATTCCCAACTTATCTCATTATGCATATGTGAATATTCCAAAGTCCCCAAAACTCTGAAATCTGAAACACTTCTTCAGATAAGGGATCCTTGACCTGGAGTACCTACCTCCTAAGGTTATTAGAAGACTGAAATGAGTTAATATTTGCACAAGGCTTACAACAAACAGGACCTGCCTAAGTTCCATATACATAAACAAGTAAGCAGCTCCAAGAATGTTCACCTGTGTTGGTGGAACCCAACTTCTAGACAAAGAGCAAAATACATCAAGGTAGAATTAGCCTCTCCTTCCTCTGAACAGTTCCTGCATTAGTAATGAGTCCAAACGTTTTGGTCACATGTCCTTCGTGTACATTGGTTATCTTTTCAAATGGACTCTACACACTTACAGGACTATTACAGCATCATGCTGCTTAGAGGCATTCGGTCATGCTAGTGGACTGGCTGGTTTTGCAACTGTGGAATATGCGATGGCAGAAGCAGAGAACAGAAAGGCTACCCAGTTTGCCTCAGTGAAGCCTACTTTCCTTGAGATGGAAGGTGTTCTAGAGCAGTGTCTGGAAGAATATTCAACAACTGTTTATATACAGTACATAGAAACAGGTTGAGTTAGCCAGGACCACAGCAACAGAAAAATAAAACAGTATGTTGTGCCTACCAGAAATAAGAGGTATCTTTACTTTTATTTATACTCTGACTATTGAAGTCATTGATGTGGCTTACTAAAAATAAATATATAAACTATAAATCAGAAAAATATAAACTAAAATGAAAGATCAATGTTAGGAGTAGAGGACTAGAACATAGACATGCAGGAACTATGGTCCATACTTACTGGCTAAGTATGCTGTACGAACAAAGGTACACAACAAAGCCTGTGCCTCTAGGAGATAGTTCTCCTGTGGACTTTATACAGGACATGCTGAATAATGCAAGGGGCACCCTACAGTGGTTAACAGCGGCTTTTTTTTTTTTTTTTGAGGTACTGAGGTTTGAACTCAGGGCCTCAAGCTTGCTAGACAGGTGCTCTATTGCTTAAGCCATCCCTTCAGCCCTTTTTGTTATGGCTATTTTGGAGAGAGGGTCTCCTTTCTGACCAGGCCAGCCTGGATCATGCTCCTCTATTTCTTTCTTCTTAATTCCACTGTAACTGTGATGACAGGTGTGCACTTTTCTGTTAAGATGAGGTCTCTTTTTGCCCAGGCTGGCCTAGAACCAGCCTCCCGTGTAGCTTGGGACAATAGGCACATGCCACTGTGCCCAATATTGGTTGAGATGGGGATCTTGTGAAATTTTTACTCCAGCTGGCCTTGAACCATGATCCTCTCAATCTCTGCCTCCCAAGCAGTTAGGGATACAGGCATGAGCCACTGGTATGAGGCTACAATAGTGACTTTTTTTGGGGAGGAGAGGTGCAATACTGGGATTTAAACTCAGGGCCTCGCACTTACTATGCAGGCATTCTACCAGCTCAGCCATTCCACCAGCCCTTTTTTTAGGCTGGGTATTTTTGAGATAGGGTCTTGCTTTTTGCCTGGGCTGGCCTTGAACAGCGATCCTCCTGATCTCTGCCTCCCAAGTAGCTAGGATTACAGGTGTGAGCCACCAGGATCTGGCTGCAATAGTTACTTTTATTAAGCAGACTGTCCTGACATTATTTAAAAAAAAAAAATGCTGACATGACACAACAGCACGATTTCCAAGAAAGCAACTGTATAAGTAGCTAAAGCCAAAGCAACTAAAAAATGAACGGACTGCATACTTCTTAAACAGTCATGGACAAATATCCTTCCTTTGACAAAGTTCCTAATAAAAAGTTGTTTTGCAAAATGTTACTAGTAATGTTCTCCTCCAGTGTGTTGTGTTAATTATCAAAGGTTAGGGTTGGGCATGGTAGGGCATGCCTATAATTCCCAGGGAGGCTGAGGCAGGAGGATTACCAGTTGCAAACCAGTGAGCCCTTATCTCAAACAACCAAAAGAAAATAAAAGAAAGGGACTAGTATTTTGTTGACTGTAATAAAATGCCTTTGCAAAAACAAATTCTGCAAAATGCTCTCACAAAAGCTGATTTGAGTGACAAAACATATCAGTAACCTACTGAATGAGTTGCAAAATATATTCCTGTTACATTTACAAAAACAGTAATCATATCACCATCATCACTATAACTACTCACACAAAGTGAAATGTTCAGAGTTCTGTCTAATTCTAAAATAAAACTTCAATTCTGCTGGATGCTGGTGGCTCACGCCTGCAATCCTAGCTACTCAGGAGGCAGTCAGGAAGATCGCTGTTCGAAGCCAGTCAGGGCAGGGCAAATAGTTTTTGAGACCCTATCTTAAAAAAAAAAAAATCACAAAAAAGGGCTGGTGGAGTGGCTCAAGGTATAGGCTCTGAGTACTGGTTCAAA